AACCCCCCCCCCAGCTTCTCTGTAGCCCCTTCAGGTACCGGCAGGCCACTCTAAGGTCTCCTCGGAGCCTTCTCTTCTCCAGGCTGAACAGACCCACGTCTCTCAGCCGGTGCTCACAGGAAAGGTGCTTTGTTTCCCAGCTGGGTCACGACCACATGTGACCAAATCCAGCCTATTTTACCAAATTCTGGCTGTCCGCAAGACCCCCCCGGCTGCATGCCCACAGGTTTTTACTCAGATACCTCCTATTGTATGCAAAGAATTATGAACTTTATCTGTGGTTGCAAATCTAGTTGGTTTTACAGAAAATGTATGTTTACCGAATTACTGATTAATTTATACAAACAGAAACAAGATAACTCTTTTACAGCAAACAATTTCTGGGTTTTATTAAAAGCCTTGGTATTTATTTGTTTGCTTTTTTAAACCCAAGTCATATTTTTAATCTAAAAAATATTTTAAAAATCAGAATTCTTCAGCCTTGGATCTGCAGTTTCATTAAAATTTTGAAAATTTATTTTAAATCACAAATTTCCAGCAATTGCCTTTTTTCCTAACTGATGTTGTGACTACATACTGCCCTGTCCTTAGGCGTCTGGAGCAGCCTGTCATGTCCGGACTCATGCCCGTCCTCCCGTACAACCACTCACCGTGCTCTCAGCTTGCAGACATGCTTGAGGATGCTCATGCTGAGAAAGAAACTTACGTGCATGAGGGCAGAGCTGCAGGGTTGTGCATAAATCACCTCGGGCAATGCCAATGGGAGTCTCCTAGATGGAGAGTCCCAAGAGCCGGGCATCTTCAGTAACAACCTCAGTGAGGGAGCTGGATGGTAACAATCCTCTCCTGTTTAATGAGTTTTACAAATGGCAGGTGCTGAGAGATGACCAAGGGAGACAGTAATAGGCTGCCCAGGTCATCTCCAGCAGAAGGAAAGACTTTCTTTGTGTTTCTGCCTGGAGCAATGTGAGTGCAGTATCTTTTCCGGCTCTGCTAGAAGTCTCTTCTGGCTCTCAGTGCAAGAAGGGCAGGAGCTGTCCTCATGCCCACCACGCGCCCCCCCCAAGCCCAAAATGTGGCCAAAAGGCCCAAATGCGCAAATTCAGTACAGAAAAAAAAATTGCAAATTTGGAATAGCAGAAACATTCTGTTAACTGGTTTTTTTTTTCAAGAGGTCATAGAAGAGTGCAGCAGAAAGTCAAACACCACAAAGACAAGACAATTTTTTTTTTACTTGGAGAATGACACATTCAAACCAGTTTTGAAACAATGCATTTCACCGAGTTTAATTTTTAAATTAATGTAAAAGTGAGGACTAAACATGATATTTTGGATGGGATTCATCTGAAAAAACAGCGGTGGCTGTTGTAGACATGGTGTCAGCCTATCACTGGAGCTATTCTCCTCTGTGGAGACAAACAGCAATTTTAGGGCAGTGTTCATCCCAACCTATCTGAAATAGGTCAGAGGAATTATGCTGCACTTGCCTCTTTTATTGTCATGACTGCAAGGGAGACAGTGGTGACTTTGTGGACCTCTGCCCGGAAAGTGTCTGTGGAGGATGAGAGTTGTCCTGCTGCTTTGCTGTTGGAGGAAACATGCCATCTCGGTGCGCTTTTCTTCTGCATCCTTGTATTAATGATCACAGTTCCCCATCTTCATCCCTCTGCTCCTCCTTCACCCTCAGACCCAAGTGGGGCCATGGCTCCCTTGTCTGGATGACACCCCCCCACCAAGGTGAGGACCATGAGCAGCCCTGAGACACAGTCATTCACCTCTGCTGAATTATCTCTATTTCATCACTCTCATATCTTAAACTTCCTAATGGGAACTGTTACATAACTCTGGCAAAACACTCCAGGCAAATGCTCACCAGCCTGATGCTTTTGCCCAAAACGTTGACCCTTCATACTAGAAGTGTTACTGACCCCCAGAAGACTCCAGCCTGACCCCAGGACGACCATCCCTGCAAGTGGGTGGCTAAACCTACTGAACATCTTGGTTCTGAAGAAAGGCAAGGTATGGGGATATGAGTTGTTAGCGTTGGTACTTTGGAGAGTTGCTGTTGACATGTATCATCATGCACCTCTCCCAGGAAGCCCCCAGTACCAGTTCAACAGGATGCCTGCAGAGCATCTCCTTATTCCAGGTCAGAGCTGGACTTCTCATCTGCTGGCGCTAAGCTGTAGACCTTCAGAACGGCTCCCTGTGCCTCAGCTTCCCGATGAAACCTGTCACTGCTGCGGGAGCTGGCCTATCTGCGTCGTTTCCAGCAGGATCCCAGATTCCAGGAGAGATGAACAGGAGAGATGTTGCACCCAGGGAAGTCTCGGCATTGTTGGGTGCTGCAACCCCACCAGACAGCCTGTGAACCCTGGTTGGACACAGCTGAATGTCTCAGAGAGGGCTCAAAAGAGTCTGGGATGCAGCTGGTTTACCAGCAGCAAGAGTTAGCTGGGCTCAGAACACTCAGACCTTTGGCACGTTGCCTGTCAAGCCTTCAAGACGTTATGTTTAGCTGTTCAGGTACCTGTGGTCATTGCAAGAAGCAGACACAAGACTGGTAAGTATCCCAAAGTAGACTCAGTGATTATGTCCATCAGTGCAAGGTGTGGACACCTAGGTAGTGATAAACACCGTTGCGCATCTCCCTGCTTTGGTTTCTTCACCCAGCTGGTGCGAGCTGTCGGACAGACAAACAGCTTCAAAGAGCTCAGTTTTGAAGATGCTCAGTTTCCATCATCACCCAGAAATGCTGGTCTGTGCTCAGTGAGGGTTGGCCTTTTGTGCAAGAGAGGCCCAGAGAGGAGAGCCTCAGTGGCTACGGCACCTGCAATGTGGGGCAGTCTCCTACTGCTAGCCCTGAGATCTAGCAAGGGCTAAAGAGGACAACATAGAAGAAATTTCCCTATTCGGAATAGAATCTGTGTATTGACAAGAATATACTTGGCACCCTGAAATGTTGTTTTAAATTATCACCATGACGTTCGTGGCATCACAAACATTTCAAAACTCAAAGGTGATAGCTTACTTCTTTTCATCACTTGGACAGAAGGAAGGGATATTTGCTCATGCCTCCAGTCCCAAGTAACTCTCGTCACAGAGTAGGGTCTCCTGTGTTGATTAAAGCCTATGAGTTCCCCTTCCCCTCTTATTGTTTCTGTTCTCCATGCAGAGGAATACCTCTGGAAAACTTCTGACTACTATGTCAGACATGAACCTTCCTGGAAAACAGCATTTTGAGGACTGCCTGACGGATCTGCTTGGTCCTCATGCTGTAAACAATAGGGTTCAGCATTGCGGGGAAGGTCAGATAGAGATCAGCCAGCAGAACCTGTGTGGGCACGGATATGCTGCTGCCAAACTGCTGTGCGTATATGGAGACTATCCCAGGGATGTAATACAGCAGCATCACACAGATGTGACTCCCACAGGTGCTGAAGGCCTTCCAGCATGATTTCTTCCCCAGGGCAGCTTTAAGGATCAGCCCGTAGGACACAGCAATGAAAGACATGTCCATCCCTACTGTAAGAGAGGACCCGGCCACGCTGTAAAGCCCACTGGGTCTGGGGTCTGTGCACGCAAGCTTCGCCACAGCCATGTGCTCGCAGTACGAATGGGGAATCACGTGGGAACGGCAGTAGGGGAGGTTTGTCACCATAAATGTCAAGGGAACCATGAAAAGGAGAGCTCTCACCACTATAGTCAGGCCTATTTGTGCAATGGTTCGGTGCTTCAGGATGGCTTGATACCTGAGAGGGTGACAGATTGCCACGTAGCGGTCAACAGCCATGGCCAGGAGCACTCCTGACTCCTCTGATGTTGTGGAATGAACAAGGAACATCTGAACAAAACAGGCCGTGTAGCCAATCTCAGTTGAGTTCAGCCAGAACACGCTCAGCATCTTGGGCACAACAGATGTCACCATCACGACATCAATAACTGCCAGCATGCCCAGGAAGCAGTGGATGGGATCACGCAGGGAGGTGTCCAGCCCAATGACAAGCAAAACTAGACCATTTCCTACCAAGGCAATGATATAACCTGAGCAGAAAGGGATGCCCAGGCAGGTGGGCCAAGGGTTCTCCAGATTGGGGACACCCACAAGGATAAAAGAGGAGGAGCTGCTGTTGGGATGGGTGAAGGGAGCAGAAGCCATGCAGGAGAATCTTGCTTTTGTGCTTAAACAGAGAAGCCCATCTGTAAGCCCTGAGACATCCACAACTGTGGGGACTCTGCATCAGTACAAGAGTCAAATCAGGAATCCATATCATTATTACCATGTGAGACAGGAGTACTACAACATAACACGACCAGCTAGGAGGAATGGATCCAAAATGCAGAATAATGGGGCTGTTATAGCTTAAAAGTTCCTACAGTTTGTTGCTTTTGACGGGCTTGTTTCTCTATTGGTTGCTCATCCCTGCTCAGCTGACATCTTGAAATAAGCAGCAAAAGGAGAGGAAAAGGTCAACATCCATCTTCCCTCAGTCAATGCTTTTGCCTCAGTAGCCCTGGCTTCCTTGCAACGGATCCAACAAAGGAAGTTCCTGCAAAATTGTAGGGCAAAAACTAGTCTCAGACAGTGCTTAACTGACATTAACTGTTATTCAAAAGACGTGTTGATGTGGTGTTTAGTGACATAGCTTAGTGGTCAACCTGGCAGTGCTGGTTTAATGTCTGTAGCTGATGATCTTAAAGGTCTTTTCCAATCTAAATAATGCAATGATTCTATGATTAAGCATGATTATGAAATTGTCTTTTGCTGCTCTGTCTTCATTGTCATCCATCCATGAGAGAAGCCTGCAAAACTAGGCAGCAGTCAGAGGAAAAGATGAATTTCTGATGTTCAAGGAGAAGCTTGAGGGTAACACAGAAACTCCAGAGAACAATCCTGAAGAGATAAGAAAAGTCTGAGTATGATGGGCAGGATCTATGCATTCATTTGTGCCAAAACTTTGCTACTGCTTCTGCTGCTTCTCCCCAGACAATAGCAAAGACCAGGAGGGTGATGACCACACCAGATCCCTGCCTGTGCCTGGCTGATCATCCACCAGGAGCTCTTCAGCCAGTAGCAAGCTCTGGGGTGGCTCATGGCTGACAACATGGAGTAAAATTCACCAGTTCCTCTGTACAGCCCTGCTACAGGAACATTTAGGCTGAAATTTATCATTAGACGTGGCCAGTGCAGCAGTAGTGAGAAGCAGAAGCCAATAAGTTCAGAATAGAAATAAAGAAGATATTGGGAGACAACTAAGGAAATACAGCATTTGAAGCTTTAAAATAGTGAGCTGACTTTTGTAGGCTTTGAACCCTCAGTTTGACCTATGGTTTAGCTCTAAGTTTGGGGTTGCTGCAAGAGCTGCTGGCTGAAAAGACTGGTCAGGACAGAAGCTCAACTTCTGGCCTAAATGTTTGCAAATCAGGACATTTCGGAAGCTGGAACAAGATCAAAACTTTTTTAATTACTGCACATGATTGCAGTGCACTGACTCTCTGCATCTGGGTAACCAGCGACTGCAGGACCCAGGTGTGGCTCCAGATTTGAGCAGAGAGGTTAAGCCATGGCTGCTTTCACCAGCCTGTGCTCCTGAGCAGACCCACTTGCTGCCAGTGCCACCGACCAGCCTTTCAGATCAGACCCTGCTGCAAAGCAGAGCTGCGCTCCCGGGGATGGCGCAAGCTCCAGTTCAGCACTAGACCCACGTGTTTACAGAAGGACCCTCCACAAAGACTCAGGGTAGGGTTCAACTGCCCAAACACGGGTGTCTGGAGCCATGTGAGACCCCTCAGTGTCTCACCTGGCCTCTACCTCCTTTACTCCTGGCAGCTGAGCCTGGGTGAGGGTCTGCCTCTCACATATGGATGCCTCGGATACCTGGGGGCATCTCAAGTGGTTGCAGACATCCAAGTAAGGAGCAATGGAACGACACCCTGAGGGTCTGAGGTCCTGTTGCAGCCAGAGAAGAGCCCGAGCATGGAGCCTACAAAGTGACTGACTCCCTAAATATAGCGTCTGCCCTGAGAAAAGCTGAATTGTTCTCCAGGATTCACAGACCACGGGGGCTGGAGCTGCACTGGCTGTACTCAGCGTTAGACACCAAACACTCATGCACACAAGCATGGGTGGACGCTCACCTCCAGGTGAGTCTGAATCCAGAACTGCACCCCCAGGAACCTATACCTAAGGCAAGAGTGTATTTGCTCTTTTCCACAGCCTGACACAATATTCTTACCAGTATCACAGCAGTCCTGAAGAATCTTGAACACAGGGAGTTCTTGTCCTGGATGATGGAAAAACATAGCACAGAAGATCTTTGCAGCCTAACCAAAGGCTTCTGATCCCACTCTGCCAAGAAGAACAAGCACAGGTATCTGTCTCAGCTGCAGCACTGTCACCTGGAAAGCTGCAGTGGCACATCTCTGCGTGTCTCTAAGGGCAGCAGTGCTGGGGTGTTAATCCATCCTCTGGAAATGCCCTGAGGGACAGCAGATGGAGGACGCAGTGATCACAAGGTCTGTCCTATGAGGAGATGGAGATTTTCAAGACTACTTCAGCTTCTTTGATTAGCTCTCCCTTGCCGTGTCACACCGTTGGGAACTCAGGGGCCTGCCGGGTGCCCATGAGACCAAGGCACACAATGCAAACTAAGAAATCTGAAGTGGGGAAAAATACCTCTGGTTCTGCCAGAGAGAATAAGATCGGAAACTCTGGGTTTCTACTCCTCTCTCATCTCAGAACCATTACAGAAAACTTCTACATCTGTTGAATCCCCAGAAGGAGTTTGTGCAAGAATTGATGCAGGGAGACGGGTTCTCACAGCAGATCCTGAGCCTTGGCTGCCTCACGCAGGACGTAGGTGAGGATCGATGCCTCTGGAGGGTGTAAGGACTGCCTTTAAGGGTTGTTAGCAGGATGTCAGAGCGCTGACAAGAACCTCCATGTGAGCAGCAACGCGGCACAGGAGGCTATTTTGAAGTGGAGCTCGTCTTTAATTTCCCTGCCAGCCATGTAAAGCTATCCTATCCAGTGTGAGTCAGGCAAATACATTTATTTTACAGCAGTGATTGGGCCGTGTCAGGGCCAAGAACAGCACTGAGGAGAGAGGGGCCACTGCCCGGGAGACCTTCCATCCCTGCTCTATCCCACCGAGATCCTTCTCCTGGCTCTTCCGTCTCTGCTCTCAATGCCTTCTGCCCCCTAAAATCTTGCTGAAAAGCACAGGATTTGTTCAGCTCAGGGGCTCAGCAATTAGGAACCTGTGAGATAGGGAGGAGACGAAGAGACAGCCATCTGTGATATGTGGGTAACGTAATTCCCAGAGATTTTGTCAGGAAGGGAAGATTTTCCTAAAGTGGAATTTTTGTTCTGCATTCCCTGCCCTGCACTCCCCCTCAGACCCTGTGTCCTGTCTCCAACTCCGCAAATAGAATTTTCCCAGAGGAATGTCTGTGTACACCCAGGGTCAGAAGGAGATGCAGCCTCCAGTGTGTCTCCACTTCCTTGAGTAGTCCCCGTGCAAGCTTTCCTGTCCCATGAACTCTGCCCCAACCAACCAGCTGTCCTGGAGATCCTGGACGTGTGTCCGGGACTGCCTGGCCCCATGCGTAGTGTGGGAGGCTCAGATCTGATGAGGATGGGTACATCAGTCTTGACGTTTGGGATGCTCCAGTCTGTCAGAGCTTCCACCTCAGAGCAGCCCATAAGAGCTACAGCTGAGAAACTGGTCAGGACAGAGCATTTCTACCATCTGTCACTCAGATCCATGTGGACTCAATGTTATCTCTAGTGCCATGGTTCTGTGCACATCTTTTTCTTGCCCTCTCATCCTCCCAGGGATCCATGTCTTCTACAGACCTGCAGAAAACAATCCATCCAGAAATGTATCTGCCCCTGCAGGGACCTCTGCATGTTGGGTGGCAATGACACTTTGCAATTTCTCCGTTCCAGACACATGCGCTGGCACCGTGCCCTGCTGAGCAGAGGGAATGTCTCAGGTCATGTGCTGGGGCAGGGTCACAATGTTAGACTGCAGGCAGGGAGCTTGCTTTCAAGAAAAACTCTTATATTTAGTCAATTTTGCTTGGAGTTCACATCTCTAAGGGGTTGATATGTCTCAATGGCAGATCAGGAATTCTCAGAAGATCCAAAGCAAGACTTTCTTCCCGAGGTAGGTCTCCCGCATACTTCTTGGACGCTTTGGGGCCTGTCATGTTGTACACATCACCATGCTTATTGCTCTCGCAATCAGGAGATTCCTGGCTGCTGATCTGGACCACAGGGTTCAAACACAAACCCTGCCCCGGGGAGTGTCAAGTTGAGACCACTTGCAGGTCAACACAGGCTGAAAACACTCACACAAAGAGCATCAATGGCCTGATCCTGTTCTCTCTGGCTGAAATTATGTACACCTACGTACAGTATGGATCCCTCCAGCAGCTGGGCTTAGATGCTCAGTCTACCCAGTAGCTGGGTCTAGGTTCCTGGTCTCCCCAGTTGCCTCCTTCACATGAATACACACACACACACACACGAACAGCTCTCTCCATCAATTGCCTGACTCCTAAGGAATTGGCAATAGCTGACCTCATAGTCTCTGCTATACGATTAGCTTAGACCCCTCCATGTCCCTTCAGTAGCAATGCAAACCTTCAGGTCTCTCCAGCATCCAGCCTTCTAGGCTTGCTGGCACCTGGCTCCCAAATCTCAGCCTGCTCACTGGATGGTCCTGCTTGATGTTTGCTGGTGATGTATGTACCCACCCTGCACGTGTGCACCCCAGTCTCACTGGGTGCTGGCACCCCATGCTCGTGAGCCCCTACAGTCCGTGCTCCCCACTACAGCAGCTGGTGCTCAGCCCTCGGTGCTCACACACTCACGCAGAGTTCAGGGAGCTCTCACCCGGGGACGTTGTTGGAAATGAAGTTTAATGAGAAGATAGGGCAGACTGGGCTGATCAAACACCAGGCATGGAGAGAAAACATGTCCACCATTTACACGTGACTGGACCCTTTCATCCCCTTATACCTCTGTTTCCCCACACTTGTTTGCCCCCAATCCACCCTGATCCCTCCAATTCCTAGTCTTTGGTTCCTTCCCTAAACATCCCATAGCGAGTGCTGCACAGTTCGAATGCTCTTCCCGGCATCCCATGTTGA